CTAAGGGCAAGATAAAAACACTTTTAGACGTGTAAGGACCCAGGATTTAATTCCCACACATCCTTTCTAAAACATTACTCTAGGATGAAATACAGCAAGAGGAATAAGTCAACCAAGAAAAAAAGAAATAGGATCCAGAAAACATATGATCCAATTCAGAAAAACACGAAGGGGAATCCAAGGACGGCAGCCAAGCAGCAGGCTGAGTCAATCTAATCTGGAGCCAAAGGATGGAGGATCCAGGAAAGAGATCTCCTTCCTGGAATATGTATCAGTGCTTGAGAGGTTAGAAGAATATACGAAAATATGATAAAAGGTATACAGTGCAAGAGGGAAAAGCAAATAAGAAAAGTAAACAGAACTATCTAAAAGAAAGCTATGGTTTAAATATGAGAACAACTAACTAGTTAAATCAGAAAACTGGTAAAAATCAGAAAATAAGCAAAGTAAACAGAACTGTTCACAAGAAAGCTATGGTTTAAATATGAGACAACTAACTGGTTAAATCATTTAAAAATTAACTAACTGGTTAAAAAAGCAGTGGGTTTCAAGAAAAAGAATGATACAGATTGCACAATTTGTGGTGTTCAGACTAGAAGTCATGTTTGCATATTTCAAATTCATAGTAAGGCCCATTTCTACCCTTATGGAAATGTTTGACATCAAGAGAATGACTTTACTTTTTCAATAGATTCTGTTGTTTCAGGACTCAGCTGTTCTGTGGAGTTAATAATTTTTGCATATTCATATTCTCAAGTATTTGCTCTTAATATATCCTTCATGAAGATTAAAACGCAACTTGTCAGTTCTGATCTTCTTAAAAAGAGCTGAGGGGGCCGGCCCGGTGGCATAGCAGTTAAGTGCGCATGCTCCGCTGCGGTGGCCTGGGGTTCGGAGGTTCAGATCCTGGCCACGCACTGACACACCGCTTGTGAAGCCATGCTGTGGCGGTGTCCCATGTAAAGTAGAGGAAGATGGGGACGGACGTTAGCCCAGGGCCAGTCCTCCTCAGCAAAAAGAGGAGGACTGGCAACGGATGTTATTAGCTCACGGCTAGTCTTCCTCAAAAAGAATAAAAAGAGCTGAGAGTTGAGCAAAAATGGAAACAGTAATTAGTTCTCTCTCAAAATGATTCTACAGGATTTTTTAAAAACTATCATCTCTTCTCCCTTATCGCCTCTTATGTTATTTGCACTAAATATAAAGAATGATTTTCTGCCCGTTTTGACTTCAATTCGATTACTACATTCAAAAATTCAAAGCTACAGATTTATAAAGGGGTTATCTATGTAGTGTTTTTCTACATATAAGATATCATGCAAGTTTTAATAGGTTTGAAATAACCCAAGAAAAAAGGTGGATTTAATCTCCCGGCTTTTATATAGACTCACAAAAGTTCCAAGAATAAGAATTACAACAAAAGGCTTTTCAAGGAAGGATAGAAGGCTGAGGAACTAGGACTATTCTAGATTAAAGGAGTAATAAAACATGAATACAAAATATAATGTGGGTTCCTAGATTTCTGGATTTTCAAAAACAAGAACAGCTACAAAGAACAATATTGGAGACATATGAGTATGAGCTATATATGTATATTCAATAACAGTACCGTATCGATGATAGACTTCTACTATGCTTATATGGAAGGATACCCTTGTTCTTAGGAGATACAGGCAGAAGTATTTAAGCGTGAAGAGTTAGGATATCTGTATTCTCAAACAGCTTAGCAAAAAAAAAAGTGACGGGACACATTTATATGGTGACTGACAATAATGTACAACTAGAAGTTCACAATGTTATAAGTTATTATAACATCAATTTAAAAAAAAACCACAATGTTGTAAAATCTCCACAATTGGTCAATTTAGGTAAAGCGTATAAAATGTTTCTTTAACTAATGCAGCTTTTTTGTAGATGTGAAAGTTTTAAAAATAAAACTTAGGAACAAAAATATGGACTTTAATAGAGATTTGATATTAGGTACGACAACAATAGTATTATCTAAGATAGTGTCCTTATTAAAAGACGCAGGTTCAAGTATTTGCGAAGCTTTGTTATGTCTGTAACTTATTTTTATACAGATTCAGGAGAAAAATAAATAGATACAAATAGATATATAGATACACACACACACACGGGCCGGCCCCGTGGCTTAGCGGTTAAGTGCGCGCGCTCCGCTGCTGGCGGCCCGGGTTCGGATCCCGGGCGCGCACCCACGCACTGCTTCTCCGGCCATGCTGAGGCCGCGTCCCACATACAGCAACTAGAAGGATGTGCAACTATGACATACAACTATCTACTGGGGCTTTGGGGGAAAAAATAAATAAAATAAAATTAAAAAAAAAAAAGAGATACACACACACACACACACACACACACACAAATACACATATAAAGATACTGTAGTTCATTTTTATTTTTTTTTGTGAGGAAGATCAGCCCTGTGCTAACATCTGCCAATCCTCCTCTTTTTTGCTGAGGAAGACTGGCCCTGGGCTAACATCCGTGCCCATCTTCCTCCACTTTATATGGGACACGGCCACAGCATGGCTTGCCAAGTGGTGTGTCGGTGGGCGCCGGGATCCAAACCGGCGAACCCCAGGCCGCCGCAGCAGCGGAGCGCATGCATTTAACCCTTTGCGCCACCCGGCCAGCCCGGATACTGTAGTTCTAATCAAGTTTAATCAAAGGGGAGCGGAGATGTGCTCATGTGACCACCTTACCGCAGCATCAACGTTAGCAGGCGAGTCTCCATTAGGGTCTGCCAGCATAGAAATGACACTAATCATGATGGTTTCCACGGTGTGAATAGGGAGCCAACGTTCCTCTGGCTTTTCATAACCATATTTATCTTCTCCAGGCTCATGAAGAATAGAAATGCATACATCACCATTTTTATCAACTGCAAAATTAGAAAATAAGAATTCTGTTTAAAATATTTAAAATAATTTGGTTATACATAAATATCTATTATAGACGTGGCCTTGATTCCCACAATACTTGTATAAAACACCAAATATAAACAGAAGTTAATTCCCCAAATGGAACCTGTTAACCTTTTAGGAAGACAACAGATTTTACCGAATAGGATCCATCTATCTGACAAACCCAATAGGAATGTAAGCTATCTTTTTCATTTGTGCAAAACTTCAAGATACCTAGGCGTGTAGATGGTGCCTAGCATTTACATGTAGTAAACACAATGGAGTGAGTAAATGGCAACAATTGAAGCTGTTCTTCATTTGTAGAAAGTATGTGGTCCAAATACCAGAACTGAGTTTCTATGTAATGATTTCCTAGTTTTCCCACTAACTTATTAATTTAAATTGGTGATAGTCAAAGGTCCAGAGACTTTCCTATGGAAAAAATTGAGAAGTAACATCATAATGTACTTTTTATTTTTTTTATTTTTTTGGTGAGGAAGATCAGCCCTGTGCTAATATCTGCCAATCCTCCTCTTTTTTTGCTGAGGAAGACTGGCCCTGGGCTAACATCCGTGCCCATCTCCCTCCACTTTATACGGGACGCGGCCACAGCATGGCTTGCCAAGCGGTGCATCGGTGCGTGCCCGGGATCCAAACCAGCAAATCCTGGGCTGCCGCAGCACAGCGTGCACACTTAACCACTTGTGCCACCAGGCTGGTCCCCATAATGTACTTTTTAAATCACACAAAGGCATAATTATATTCTCAGGGAAAGGAGGATACTCAAATTCACAAAAGGAACATGGCATATTGCCAGTTTAAAATTCATCAATGTAAATAACATGAACGAAATGAAATGGAGGCCCTTTTTCTATAAAATTACTTTAAAATCCAAGCCACAAAGTAATTGATTTAAAAAAATAAAAAAAAGTGGAGGCCGCCCAGTGGCATAGCGGTTAAGTTTGCACACTCCACTTCGGCAGCCTGGGGTTCACAGGTTCAGATCCCGGGTGCGGACTGACGCACTGCTTGCCAAGCCATGCTGTGGCAACGACCCGTATAAAGTAGGGGAGGATGGGCACTGATACTAACCCACGGCCAATCTTCCTCAGCAAAAAATGAGGAGGACTGGCAATAGATGTTAGCTCAGGGCCAGTCTTTCTCAGCAAAAAGAGGAGGATCGGCATGGATGTTAGCTCAGGGCTGATCTTCCCCACACACACAAAAAAATGTTTGTATAGAATTCTATCAGAGAGAATCAATTTAAGATCTGTTTTCCTTATAACCTAACATCTTTAAATTTTTAACCTTGTCTCAGTTCATTTTATACATACAGTTTAATTTTTTAGAATAAAAGGTTTTTAGGCTTTATACCTATTATCAAATTACTTTTAAAATGTATATTCCACTGGCAATATACGAGATGACAGTTTCATTGTCTCTTCACTCAGAATTAAGATTTTTCTTTATTGATAATTTTTCAATTTCATAGGTAAAATCTAGTTTAATTAGCATTTCTAAATGCTTTTGGGGGTGAAATTTTTCCATGTATAGAAATTATAGGGCCAGCGCCGGTTCGGATCCCAGGTGCGCACTGACGCACTGCTTGGGCAAGCCATGCTGTGGCGGCGTCCCATATAAAGTAGAGGAAGATGGGCACGGATGTTAGCCCAGGGCAAGTCTTTCTCAGTAGAAAAAGAGGAGGATTGGCAGATGTTAGCACAGGGCTGATCTCCTCACAAAAAAAAAAAAAAAAAAAAAAAATTATACATATTTCCTCTTTTGTCAAATGTCTGTTCATATCCTTTAACCATCTATGTACTCACTGTTTAGTTTTTTATTGCCAAATTGCTTCTTAATTTTTCCCGTTTAATTTTTGCCTGTTACTTTTTCCTTTAATTTCAATGCCCCAATAACATTCTTTGTAGCTGGCCTTATTACCTGATACAAGATCCATTTAAGAATCCTATACTGCAATTAGTTGCCGTTGCTCTTTCCTTAGTCTTTCAATATTTACTACTTTTGAAACTAGAAAATTCTTGTCCCTAACAACTAGCAGATAACTGATATTCACTACTATTTTTTTAAAAAATCACTTGAAACTTTTTATTCTATTTAGAGTTTTAATTCATTTTGCTGTTTCGTGTGAAGAAAATTTCTAAATCAATTTTCCCATAAATAGCTAGCCAACAGTCTCAGCATCAATTACTGAAAAGAAAATACATCTCTTCTTCCATCTTAAAACTAAACTACCTGAACCATGCATACCCTTCAAGCTATGTCCTTTCTCTTGAAGCTATGCATCTAAAATTATGAAAATCTGATTTACCTTCATCTCTATTTACTCGCTACTTGGGTACTCTTTCTCTTTCACCTTACTGGAAACTGGCTTCTGTTCCACATCAAAATGCTATGACTGTTCTCACAAAGTGGTCTGGAGAACATAATCTCCTGGGCACTTTTAAAGTCAACCCTTCTGGGCCAAGACAACTGATATTGTTGAGAACACCTTCCTGGCCACATTTTCCTCCCTTGGCTTCTGTGATACACTATTTTTAAGCCATTCTCTCAGTCACTTTCCAGTTTTCCTTTTCCTTGGTCATACTTTTGATGTCATCCTGATCTCCAACATTAATCATTTTTTCCCTGGGTAAATTACCTCATTCATTATATCACAACATTACCCAACATCTTTTTTTCCTCCAGCTTTATTGAGATATAAATGACATACAAGATTGTGTAAATTTAAGGTGTACTATGTGATGATTTGATATACATTGTCTATCATCTTGATGCCAGTAACTTCCAAGGCCCTAAGCTCACTGCTGAGCCTTAGACTAGTTTTATCTAATTATCTAACTAGATATGGCAAGTGTACCTCAAGAAAAACAAGTCCAAAACTGAATACGCTAAGCCACACAAAACTAATCTTTACCCTATAATTTTTATAAGTTTTATTGAGATATAATTCACGTATTTGAAGTGCAAAATTTAATGGTTTCTAGTATGTTTACAGAGTTGCAGAACTATCACCACAATCAATTTTAGAATATATTCATTACTCCAGGAAGAAACACCGTACCCATTAACAATCACTCCCCTTTTCCCCCCAATTCTCACCCAAGCCCTAGGCAACCAATAACCTATTTTCTATCTCTACAGATGTGCCTATTCTGGACATTTCACATAAATGGAATCATACATTATGTGGTTTTTAGTAACTGGCTTCATTCACTTAGCATAATGTTTTCAAGGCTCATCCATGTTGTAGCATGTATCAGTACTTCATTCCATTATATGGATATACTACATTTTCTTTTTCTGCTCATCAACTGATAGCTATTTGGGTTGTTTCCACTTTTTGGCTATTATGAATAAAGCTGTTATGAACATTCATGTACAGGTATTTTGTGGACATATGTTTTCAATTTTCTTGGTTATATATCTAGAAGTGTAATTGCTAGGTTATAAGGTAACTATGTTTAACCTTTTGAAGAACTGGCAGACTGTTTCCAAAGTGGCTGCACCATTTTACATTCTTGCCAGTAGTGCGAGGGTTCTAATTTCTCTATGTCCTCGCCAACACTTGTTTATTATCTGTCTTTTTGATTATAATCATCCTAGTGGGTATAAAGTGGTATCTCACTGTGGTTTTGATTCTATAATTATTTTGTAAATGGTCTGTCAATTCTAAATTCTTACCTCTCCATTACCAGCCACATCTGGTAGTCAACAAGTGAGAATAACTAAATTTTCCTTCCTGCCACTGCTCTTAGTTCAAGCTTTCATTCTCTCTTACCGAAACCACTGATATAATCCTGTATCTATCTCCTGGCTATCAGTCTGGCTTCCTCGTCCAATCCTTCCTCCATGAGTGTATTCTTTCTAAAAGGAAATATAGTCAAGATGAACCTAGTATATAGTTTTAAAACTCATTAAATGAGTCCCCACCGCCTAAAGAACAAAGTTCAAGCCAGGCATTTACATATCCAAAATTCTGTTCAAGAATCATATTCTCTTAAGAATCATTCTCTCACTCCCTCTTCTATGCTACCAAACACCTTTATAGCCACATCATTGTCATCTCTCAGTTTCACCATTAAGTTTATGTGTCTATCTTTCCCTTACATAGACCACGATATCCTTAAAGAAAGAGCCCATAAATCATTAATCATCTTTCTACTTCCGGTGCCTAGCAGATACTCAAACGCTTGCTTTTCTTCTCATTCTTATTTCAGAATGACTTTTCATTCCTTCTTAACTCTTTCTGTACTTGCCATCCCTGCCCCATCACCTCCTCAGCTATCCTTTCTTCACAAATTATCCCATCTCTCAAATCAAGTCTTAATTATTTCACTCTGTAATGCCTTCTCCCTTATAGCCCACAAAATGAAAAGTCTCTTCAACTTAAAAACAACAACAAAAACAAAAAAATCCACTCATTTCATCATTTGTCCTCTTAAACTACCTAGGCCATTGCTATCCTTCCTCTTAACAGAAGAGAAGTCCGATGTAATGCTTACATATACGCTCTCATTTAATTCTCACAGACAGACAAACTACGGCCCAAAGAGGCTTTGCCTAGAGTTACACAGCTAATTTGTACTGGAGCCAACATTCAGAAGCTTTGTTACATCTTCTTCAGAAATAGGTGCAAAAAGATTGCCTATTACAAATCAAATAATTCAAGTGAAGGTAGGAGAAACTGCCAAAAGCCTAGGAGAGATGAGAGAAATGTCAAAGCAACAAGAGGCAGACATCATCAATTCATGCATCCATACACCCTGTATGACTATCGTTAATGCATTCTACCACAAATAAATTATTTGAGATATTTTTCTTCCCCCTTACTGGTACAAAAAATAACTGTGTTTTGTGATCAATGCTATCTTAGATGCAATGAAATATGGAGACTCCCTTGGTTCCCAATAGTTTCCCATTTGCCAGTTCTAGTTTCTCTTAAGACCCATCTGTTCTTCAAGCCATTGAAATCCTTATAATGAAGCTTTCATTTGTTCATTCATCCATTACTCTCTAATTAATTTTTGCTTCAACTCACATATAAGGGTTTCTCCTCCTTGCAACCAAAAGAGTCTTGACTATGAGAAGCAGAATGCAGATTAGTGTAGTAGTCTAAGAAAACTCTGATTACAAGATACCGATAGTCAAAAAACTTAGAGAAGAAATCCTTGCAAGCTCTATCATACAAAACAAGGCCAAAAGTTCAGGGAGACTGAGTATAAACACAGCTTATCTAGCCTAACCTTTGGCTTACAAAGTGGATTTTAAATGGTAGCACGTCTTTGGGTAAAAAAGTCAATGTCACCATTTCATGCACAGCTGTACTGGATGCTTTCCAAAGGTTAAAACATACAGTATTTTATCTCATTTGACCCTATCAGTCAACTTGTGACATAGGTAGGACATTCCTTTTTTAAAGCTAAGACTATAGATAAAAAAGTTGAGTTGCCCATGGTCTAACAGCTAAGATGAGAAAATATAAAAAAAAATCCAAGTTTAATTACTTCTATGCTCTTTGTAACAGCCAATGATTCACCTAATACCTTGGAAATTATCTCCTCCGTTATAAGAGCTCTATTAATGCTGAATATCACCCACCAACCTTGCCTCTAATTTGGAACGTCAAGAGTCTCAAAAAGAGCTGAAAACTAAGTAAATCAAAAATTATTTTTTTCATATGATCTCTGTTACTCCTTTTCTTCTAAAGAATCTAATACAAGGCTATGTGCCTAATGAACACTACGAACTTAGTACAAAAATTCCAAAGCAATTTCATTAAGAACTACATCTTTCTTATTGACCTTGAAAACCTCAGTGACAGGCTATCATATTTGCAAATGTAAAAGTAAAACTAGATAAACTTACCATTTGGGTGCCAAATTTCTGTAATGAATTTCATTTTAGGAGGCCGGAGGGGATAATCTTTTGGGAAAGTGAGATGAGCCTTAAAAACACCACCTTCACTGGAAAAAAAACAAAAACAAGTTCTTGCCTATAAATTCCTGCTTGTAAGTAGACAATTAAAAACAACATAAAACAAGGATGCTAGTGCTAACACTATAAATGAAGTGAATGAATAACCTGGATTTCAAGAAGACAGTTTACTTACTCAAATACCCAGTTTAATAAACTGTCATACCTACCACCCTATTAAACTCTCAAAACACTAATAAAATGAAAGAAATAGCTTAAAAAAGGGATCCAGATCAGATTACATTATTGCTGTGCTACAAACCTTTCTATCACTTCCCATTGCACTTACAACAAAATTCAGAAGGTTTAACACTGCCTATAGGGGTCAAGTTGCCAATTTCTCTATGTTGATCTCAAACTATCACTCTTCTCCTATTCCAGCCAGTCTTCTTTCCATTCTTCACACACATCAAGCTCTTTCTCATCTCAGAGCTTATGCATATTTTGTTGTTCCCTGTCTGGGAACAAATATGCTGACCTTCTATTCATCCATCCATTTATTCACCTCATTATTTAATAAATATTGACTCAGCCGTTACCTGTCAGACACTAGGAGTACAGCAGTGAACAAAGTATAAAGTCTCTCAATGAATTTATATTCTAGTGACTTTCCAAAGTAGTGCGGTGCAACAGAACCTTCTGCACATTGGAGATGTTCTATATTCAAGCTGTCCAATATGGTAGCCACTAGCCACTTGAAATATGGCTAGTGCAACTGAGAAGCTGAATTTTTAATTTTACTTAATTTTAATTTTAACAGCCACATGTAGCTAGTGACTGCTGTATTAGATAATGCAGTTCCAGAGCAATGCAATTTACTGAGGAACTAGTCTTGAAGAATTATCAAAACAATACACTGAGTTGTATACGTTAACAACGAAAACCAATGAGATCAAGTAAGCTTCATGGGACAAAAGTGACTAAGTTCCTGCCTTGTGTTCTTTTCCTCTGTTTGAAATACCTTTTTCCCCTTGTCATCATTCAGAAGTCAAGCTTAAATGTTACCTCTTAAGAAAGATTTTACATGACTACCCAATCTTAACTAGCCACTGTGTCCCTCTATCATATTGACCTCTTTTCACTTTTTTATTGCAACAGCAAAACGCACATCTGATTCTTTTATTGTTTGAGGTATGCTCCATTGGAGCAGGGTCATATGATCGTGTTTCAGATCAGTGGGAAATGGAATTCCCAGCTCATTAAATGGTTTTCATTCATTGAACAAATATACACTGATTATCTACTGATGCGATACAACAGAGAACAAGACATTAGAGATCATTGGTTTCATGGCACTTAACCCTTCTAGTGGCAGAGGAAAATATCAAGAACAATATCAATAATAAGTATTGGAATGATATGAGCAATATATCATTAAATTTGAAAAAACAAGTACTTATAGAATAAGCTCATTTGTGTTTAAGAAGAAAAAGTGGGAGTATGTTTATATAAAATAGAAAAACGTCTGGAAACATGACACTAATACATAACAATCGTTAACTCT